GTGTGTCTCTTGGATTGGGTTTTGAAGTGTGTTGAGTCTCCTTTAGGCCCTTAGTTAGTGGTTGAGTAAGGTAGGAGGTCGAGAGCTACAATCTTAAACCAAGTACCTAGAAAGGTTGCATGGTTCCTCAAGGATGCCAGTGGGCTAACTCTACATATGACTTGATAGTACATGTCAAGGTCGTGATACACCTATACTTAGTTGTACCACTCCTAACAATGGAATCAAACTTTTCTAGTGTAAGTGAAAAAATCCAAGAAATCATGTTGTTAGGATTGGTGATCAAATTTAGTTGATGAGTCTATATATTCTAGAAATGATAGTGTTGATGGGTCTATCTAGTCTAGAGATAATTCAATTGATTCAATAGGATTGAGCCACTTAAACTACTCTATTATTAGGAGATCTCCATTGGTAAATGCTTGACAATGTATTGTTTGAGGTGTATGCATATTATGTATGTTGTGATGTGTTCATATGCATTGTTGGCTGTCTTGGTTGATATGGTTTGGATGAGATACATGTTAGCTTTGAAGTGTTTAGCTTTCATATATGTTTTTGGCATGATGTTAAATGATGTAGAATTATTTTCTATACTTACATATTTTTGAACTCAACCTTACCCTTATTGTTTCCATTAATGTGGTTTGGATTGCAATGACCATACATTGTATGGAAGCAGATTAGGACTATGTTGAAGGAGCGGTTATTGGTAGGTGGTAGACCTTGTGTCAGTGTCAGTGCTACTTGATGTCTTATATAAATGTGCTTGACTAACACTAGGTTATATAATTTATTTGAGGATTATTGTATATACATGTATATGATTTATATCAATATAATTGTTACATTCTATAATCGTAATATGTGCATGTCAATAAATATATATATATATATATATATATATATTAGTTAAACTTTTATAATTTTAATAGACTAGTTTTTGCTATTAGTAGGATCTCACATAATATAATAACTATGGAAGTTTGTTACACTCTTTATCACATATATTATTTTGCCTATTACAATCACTAATTTCCTTCATGCCACCATTGTTACTTGGCTTATTCCCTAGGTCCGTTATAATTATCTCTTCATTTCTATCATTATTGTTCATAACCCAATGACATTGAAAGGCCACACATTTCATATAAAAAAAAACATGTTTTGTGTTTTTCCCCAACAATATGTGCCTCTTGCCAACTTTAAGAGCCCCAATCGTTACCAACTTTGTTTTTCTTTTGTAGCTTAGTTTTGTATCACCTAATTTGCTAGTATCCAACCCAAAGTCAACATTAACACTTTGGTATGCGTGAAAATTCTTCCCACATTTGCCATCATATGCATTTATCATCACCATTTCCATCTTTTTATTCCTTTGCTCATGTTTTTCACCCTTTGCATGCATATTCATTTTTAGCTAATTTTACTCCAACACGTTGCATATTGTTGCTACTTATTAATCGCATCACCTTTTGTACTTTCTTTTCATTCCACTTGTCGAATTCAAACTTGAACTTCAACTAACTAGAAGTTGAAAATGTCTCTTTCTCGTGGCACTGAAAAAAGCTCACCAGAAAAACCAGTCTCTCCATACCCATTTGAACATTCTTCACCAAAATATTCAAATATAAAATATTATTTTTCCTCCTTATTGAAAAATGTTTTAGACGATTCACCTTCAGTCTCAATTAACTTTCCTTCTTTCCACACAACATTGAGCATATTATTGGCATATAGATTCTTCTACCAGCCTAATGGAATAAATTATCTCGTTAATCTTCATCCTCTGGCATATTGTAAAAGGCTAAAGGGTGGGCATTCAAATCAGAACTCTAACATACACCAACCTTAAAAATAACTTAGTGCTTTCATCAGCTGATACAAAAGTACCAATTGGGGCAATCAATTTAGCAAAGCATTCATCGTTCCAAGCAAGCAATGGTAATGCTTCACATATAATCCATGTCAGCCTATATATGGCTTTGCACTTTTGTTAGGCTCTATAGTTGTACTAATTATAAATGTCGCCTAACCATTCTACTGCACCTTTGAATATGTTATATGCAAATCAACACCTTCCAACTGTGTAAGAAATACTATTTTGTCACCGATATACCTTACTCATGGTTTTAAATTGCGGACCGCAACACGTGTTGCGGCCGCAATATTGCTGTTGCAGCCTTGTCCGCAACGGCATCGGACCGTAATTGCGATAATACTGGAAATCACACATTTTTTCGCAACGTAACGGTGTTGCGTCCGTAAAACATCTGCAATGTACCGCAATACATCCGCAATACGATAAATTGATACTATAATTTTAAAATAAATTAAATTATTCATTAAAATAATAGAATATTTAAAAAAAAAGAATTAAAATGTATAAATCCTTAAAAATAAAATATATATTGATAATTATAAATTTTTTATATTTAGTGAAAATAATTAATAATCTCACACCGCAACAGCCGCAATCCGCATCGCAATACCCGCAATACCCGCAACCGCAGTAACTACAACCGCGACCGCAACCGCGACTGCAACTGCAATTTAAAACCATGACCTTACTCTAAATTAAAACCCGTCAATATATAAAAGAGTTTCATGAAGCGTGGATCATGTACTTTAATTTAATCATTCTGTTTGCCACCTTGATTTTCATTTCTTACCCAAACCACATTCTTTTGTTTCAGTATCTCCCATCCTCTGTTGTTTCTCTTGTCATCTCGTATTCACTCTTATCCAAACCACATTCTTTTGTTTCATTATCTCCCATCCTCTGTTGTTTCTCTTGTTATCTCGTATTCACTCTTATCCATCCTTTAACCAATTGTATATATTATACTTTCATCTTTTCACTTCCATCCTTTTTAAAATCCCCATCCCCTACCTTATAAGAGTGATTCATTTTATGCTTTGAAATCTTATTAGTACGTTATCTCCCCCTTTTTGGAATTGCATATGCTTTCCCTATTTCTATTTTTACATACTTAAGTAAAACATCTTCATATCACTAATGTATATTTGACCTAGTTTTTTCGCTTACCTCTTTGGTCCCTTCACCCGCACAAATCGCACAAACCTAAACATGTGCCCTACATTGTTTCTTCTCTGTGAAATGAAAGCCTCCCTGATGCGACACCATCTTTGGAAAATCTTCCATTAATCCACCTCTTTGAAACTCTCCAGGAAGTGAGAGAAGAAAAGTTTGTGGTATCTTCTTGTTTCAATACTTATATATTATGTAAAATGAGGCTTTAGGCAACTTGAAGAATCATTATTAAAGGAGTACAAGGCAATCAAAAGTAGGTGTACCCATACTACATCTCCAGGCATGGTTCTTACAAATTTTCTTTCAAGGCATGTCTCTATTGCAAACCCTTTTTGTATTTGGCACTCACTTTCCTAAGCTAATGAGTATGCTAATTTGGAAGTTCAAATTTCTTTATTGGTCTTCAATAATATTTTTGGTGGTCCTATGTGTTCGTATAAGAACTAGTTATTTGTTTGAACATAATATAGTCGATCTCTTTTCCCTCCACGATTAAGAACTTACTTGTGTTCATATAACTTTTTAATAAACAAAACTACTAATGTGTCATACGCAATTGCAAATATAACTATTGATAGAACACCAATCGAGCTCATATTTGTAAATAATTATTGCAAGAGAATGTGGCATTACAATTTAAACAGTTATTTCCATATATGAGGCCTTGGTTGATTCTAAATCTGAAATGAAAGTGTTACTAATCGGTTGTTTATGGAGAAAAGGCGAATGGTGCGGTGGGCCTCTTTTTTTTGAGGTATTAAACTAACTTTTCTAGGAAGAAAATTGGTTTCCCTTTGCTATTATAGATTAAAGCATGACTTCTCCAATACAATGATTAAATACCGTAATAATAAGTGATAGATATCATAGAGGCTTTCAATTTTTGTTTTTGAAAATTAGTACTTCATTTGTTCTGTTTAAGTTGTCGATATTTGAAAACAGTTTTGTTTATATTTAATTATTTTTTATTTTTAAAGTTCAAAGCAACATTTATTATTATTTTATTATCAATTATACCTTAGTTCCTATCCAATAATTAATTATTTTACACATTTACAACTAATTCCTATTTATTGTTAGTTTTTATATATAATAAGGACTAATAAAAGATCAGGAAAAAAGGTAGCATCTAAAAAGTGTTAAAGTACAACCCTGAAACTAATTTCTGGATTATTTAGTGGTGATGAAAAATATATTTCAGAAGTATATTTTGGAAAATAACATTTTAAAGAAAATTACCAAAAATATTGAAAGGAGAGTGTGTTTATCAACGAGGGGGAGTGCATTTAGCAAAAGCCTCTATAAAGCGACATGACGGAGTCACTGACGGACAGGCCAACGATTAAAATTGGGAAACACATCTCTATTCATTTCAAACTATATATTTTTAACACTAGCATATTATTATTGTTATTCTTCATTAGGGTTGTGCAAAAACTCAAAAGAATATTCCTGACACAACTATATCTACAATATTTAAATAATGAGAAATATTTTTAAAACGAAATCCGCTTATTTTTTTTATTTTTTTTCTTCATTTAACATCTAGCGTAACTAATATTAACAATAGATATGACAAAAACTGGTTTGAACTGATTCAAAAATCCATCTTAAGTATGGTAAAATAAAAATCATCTTAAATCATTTTAAATTGATACCCTTAAAATTTATTTATGTAACGATTTTGATATTTTTCTTTTTTTTATTGAAAAACTGGTATTGAACTGCTTTTGACTGGTATATTAAAATTTGATTTTAATGAAAAAATTGAATTTAGATGTATTGCCTGGTATCGAATTTTTACAACACGAGTGTACGTACTAGTATATTTTCCTTATTTAAAAATGATCGATTTAGACTTATTCATATTTTATAGTTTATAATAACAAAGATATATATATATATATATATATATATATATATTATAACAAAATTGCACTTGATGTAAGATTAATGATGTTCTCTTGCTTCTACTTCGATGGTAAAACTATGTGAAGGTTTTACAAATGTATGCCCTAGAAAGGGCAATGGGATGAGTAACTGATTGTGAATCTACTGCCTAGCAATATGCTTATGTGCAACAGCTGTAAATCAATTAACTCTGTCCTTTTTTTACCGAGTTAAAGCAAAAGAAACTAAAAGAATATATTTAATTTACATATAAACTCTACATTAATGGAAACTCCCCATAGAGAGGGTTGAAGCCTTGGCCTCCTCAGCTGGTTTCGGAGTTGGCAACAGCATGATTGCCAGTATGGCACTCACGGCTGGCGCCACCGCTCCCAACACAAACGCCGGCAAGTTGCCACCGCCGAACCACGCATCCCACGGTCCGCTTATCGTCGACACTATCATCTGCACACACCAAACACAACCCATCATTCAATTAATCGAATGTCAAATACATCGGTTTAAAGTAGTTTTATAGTGTCAAACCAATTAGGTGTTAGCGTTGATTTGATTATAAGAATGAATGATTCGATTTTTGGTTCAGAATATCCGATTTCTTGTTTTGATTAAAACTAGTTTTATGTTGTGAGTGATTTCATATATCATATGATTAAAATAAATAGATTAATTCTAACCTGTGGTATGACAATTGCAATATTGAGAACACCCAGAGACAAGCCTGAAAGTTTAGAAGCAGCAACAATGATTTTAGGTTACATTTTTAATAATGATAACTAGTTTGAATATATATAAAACACACAATGAATAGCAAGAGATGTTAGATTTTACCTTGGCCTGCTCCTGATGAGCTTGAGTATATAGATGCTAGGGCAAATGGCACACTAAAAGTAATCTGTAACAAAGAGAGTGTATTAGTATTAAATGAGAATTTGTGAATAAGAAATTTGAAAGATGGTGGGAAAAGCTTATTACCGCAAGAGGAATACCAAGGACGCCGAAGAAGGCCAGGGAACCAACTTTGACTCCAAAGGAAGGGTCTCCAATTAATGCAGGGTTTAGATGTCGTTCTTTCTCAGCGATCTTCGTAATTACTACTGTCATTGCCATGCAAACCGCGAGAATAACGTTGACGATTCCCCACAGCCACTTTACTCCTCCTACCAAACGACCCAAAGGCTCAATCGCCAAAGACATCAAAGCCAAAACGACAGAGTTGAGCATGAGACCCAAAGAGCCCTCATGAACACCAGCATCGTATGCCTTCTGCCCCACGTCACCACCGTACACCTCACGACCCATCCAGTCAGTGTCGTACAACATGTATGGGAACCACGCGACCCAGTTGATGGCAGTCACAAACATGAGGATCCACATGGGCCTCTTCAACTCCTTGAAGGCAACGCACAACTCTCCCATGAAGCATGTGTAGTGCGTGTTCCCTTCGTCTTTTGCATCGGTCTCTGCTGGCGTGTACTGTGGATCGTCCACGGTCAACAGGACTATGATGCAAATGACGAGGAGGAGAAAGATTGAGAAGAAGAAACAGCTCTTAAGGTTTGCGCAGAACACGTTGCACGCCTCCGTCTGCGTGAAGGGGAAGAGGTGGTGGAGGCCGTCATAGGAGCCCGCGGCGTAGCCAAGAATGTTGCCGACGGCCATGAAGAACGAGAAGAACGAGTTCGCTGTCCTTATCTTCTTCTGGTCGCCGGCAGCCAGATCACCGAGGAAGGCACGGCAAGGACCCTGGAGCATGTTGTTCGCCACATCCAGGATCCAAAAGCCGACCACGAAGCAGGCAACTGCTCGTGGCCGGGTCTTCTTTGTCATGTCGTCGCCTGTTGCTTGTCCTATATCGGCTGCGAAGCCGATGAGAACAACAGCAACGGCGACGGCAACAGCACCGGCCATTATAAAAGGTCGGCGACGGCCAAAGCGAGAGGTGCAGTGGTCGCTGCTATAGCCTACAAGGGGCTGGACTAGCAGCCCCGAGATTGGGCCACAGAGCCAAATGAATGAGGACCAAGCGTGAGGGACGCCTAGGGTTTGAACGTATGGGGTTAATAGTGAGAGTTGTAGGGCCCAACCAAATTGGATACCTGCGGCAATTGATGACACCGCAATCATTTTTGGAAGGGGGCTGGGTCCTGCTTGTGGCTCCTCCATTGTGAAACACCTATTTATTCGCCAAAACTTATTTGAAGAGAGATAGAGAAAGTTTTGAAGAAGCTTTCTCTATCTCTCTGTGAAGGTGTAATGGAGGGGCAGGTGAATCTGTTTGTAGAAATGAGGGAGTTGGGGGGTTATATAAGGGGTGGATGGGTCGAAATTTCAGATAATTGTGTGGTAGTTAGTAATTGGTGGCAACCATACACCATTTTTCAGGTTGTGTTGCTTATTTTTAGTGTTTTTACTAAACGTGATTACAAATGTATGGCATAGCGTGTGTTTTCTCTTTATTGTAGCAATGTAGTCTGACTCCCTCTTATTCTTATGGATCCAACGTATTTCGGATGAGAATGATTCTGCTTGATAAAAAAATCACAGTGAACGTCTACGCACTATTTTATTAAATTCAACTGATTATTAATTATTTGAATTATATTTAAAAACTAGTTTAGAATCAAACTGTTTTTATAAATGAGTTTAGAATTGGTTTCACAATCAAACTAATTTTGAATTAGTTCTAAACCAGTATTTTTTAAAGAAAAAATAGGTTTTTTTATTCTCAAAAATATGAACAAAGTTGTGATTAATCCACTCTTTAGAGATAAACTAAATTTTTTTATTAATTAAACATTTAACTTAGAGATTAATTAAGTAGAGATAGACACTTTAAAGAAGATAGAAAATCCTTTATTTTATTAAAAAAATATTGTTTTAGAAAAAAAGTTTACACAAACAAAGGCATAAAAGTCAACTAAAAACCATTGAAGAATTACAATTGCTATATGAAAAATTAATTATGAAAATAATTTGATATCTATATTCACTTTAATAGTCTAAAGACAATCAACAAATGAAAAAAAAAAAGTAAAAACAAAAATACAATGATCATAAGTAATAATTGAATTATTTTAATTTAATTATATTTCATTAATTAAAAAATATGCACCGGTACATCAAATCTAATTATCAATGTGATTCAAAATCTATTTTGTATAAATAAATTGGTTTGATTTTTTTTTCAATTTGATAATGATTTTTTAAAATAATGTGGTCCAATTTCAAATTTAAATTCATTCATTGATTTTTTTCATACCCCTAAAAGCTAATTTCGTTTACTTCTTTGAGAAATTTTGAATGAGGGGACACTAAATTCTGAAGATGACTCTAAGGAAGTCTCGTGTGACTACAACTTTTCCTTTGTCAATCCCCAAATTTGTTTTATATGCATCCTCATGTTGCCAAGCTACACAGTTTCTCATTTACCATCACCACCTTTTTCCTATCCTCTAATACGCCATTTTCATATTTTTTTTTACGTTGCATATGTTTTTCATGCATGCATATTTTCACCCTTTACATGTGGTGTGTCAGAAACCCTAGGAAGGTTCTACAGGTTAAGGGTAAGCGTGTAATGCCTCCCGGAATGTGAAGGTTGTACCTGTCTGAACCATTGATCTTGAAACGATCTAATGATTTTGAGAGACACGACATTTCATTTCTCGGGGTATATTTCACCTATAAATAAGTTCACCTTGTCTCCCCCAGACTTCACTTACATTCTCCAGCTCTCGAACACACTTAGCATCAAATCCTTCTTGTCTTCAATAAAATCGAGTTCCAATACCAGGTATACCTTCTTCCTCTCTTTTACGAGTTTTAGTGATAGTATTGAGTCTAAATTGTTTGGTGGTATGCGGGCTAATGTCATTTCTAGTTCTTCCTTTTCTTCCTCTTCATTTTCCTTCGAAAATCTCACCTCGTCTTCTACCGAAATCTCGAGTGCCCTAATAACTTCTTTTAGGGTAGAACCTCTTTTATCTGTCGAGGTACCCCTTAGTGCTGGTGGGAACAAAGCCAAAGACCAAGAGGATTGACCTACTAATGTAGCCTCCTCTAACATTGAAAATCCAAACCTCATATTGGCTCCTAATACAAGGGTGGGCTTCGTTATGGAGACATGAGTATTCAACCTAGGTTTTGGATGAAGTGTTCAAATTCATAAATGAATCTTTACTTATCCACTTCCTTCAACACACCAACATTGTGGACGTTGGTAAGGGAGATTTATTAGAGGACCAAAGGCCCTTGGTCGAAAGATTGAGTGTACTAGGAAGGAGATGACGATGAAGCTTGTTTCTTCTTTATGTATGAGTGCTTCTTCAAACCCTTGAGGGTTTAGCTTCCTTTTGATGACTTTACTATATTAGGGTGTTGTCGGTTCTCAAAGTTGGTCCTACACAACTTCATCTCAAAGTTAGGCATACCTACAAGCATTTTGGTATGTCCACGCTGCTATAAAAATATAAAAATATATATAATAATTATATTATATTTAATTAATCTTTATTTATATATATATATATATACTTACTTATATAATTAACAATCACTAGTAGAAAATAAGCATATTACGTTACCCCTTTTATGTCGGAAATACGAAAATTCGACGTAAAAAAAATGCGGTGGCATTTTTGTAATTTTTGCGAACTTTTTTACGTCGCACCTGGTAGGGTTTGACGTAAAAGGTCCAATCTACGTCGGAGGTATGTTTGTCCGACGTAGATTTGACATTTTACGTCGGACCTTACCAGGTCCGACGTAAAAAAGACGCAAATTTGAATAAGAGAGCGCGAGGCACACCGCGCACATTCACTTTTCATCACTTTTCATTTTTTTCTCTGTAAACCCTCTCCCTCTCCTTTGTTACTGAATCGTTTTTTTGTTTTTTGCAGAGGGATGAACTCTTTGTTACTCATTTGCACATTGTTGCTGCTCCTCAGGTATGAAACAAGGTTTCGTTAGCACTTTTCTACTTAGCATTGCTACTCTGGCTATCTGTTTTAGTCGATTTTATGGTTGTTCTATTTGTATAGGTAGTGGGCGTTTTTTTTTTGTTGTTCTACGAAGCAGAATGGCTTGTTCTGTAAGCAGAACGGCCTGTTCTGCAAGCTGCACGACCCGTTTTGCAAGCAGAACAGCCCGTTCTCCAAGCAGAACGGTCGTTCTCCAAGCAGAACGGGTCATTCTGCCTGCGTTCTTATGTTTTTTTTTTTTGTTTTTTTTACTACTTTTTACGTCGGATTTCGTAATGTCCGACGTAAATTTACGTCGGGTTTGCAGGTCTGACGTAAAATTTACATCTCCCGCTTCTACATCGATACGTTTTCTGACATAAAAAGCCTAAAATATTCGACGTAGTACACCTCTTTTGTACTAGTGAATCTACTTATTTCTATTTAAAATTAATATTATGATACAATTTAAGGTATTTATTATAAATTTAAAAGTTTAAATAATAATTTATATATTTTAAAATGATAAGGGTTATAATAATACCGGTGTAACTTTTACTAAATATTACACCGCTTAATAACTTTATATTAAATGTGAATTTTGTAAATCCAACCGTTAGATTGAAAGTTCATATCACTTTATATGTTTATATCAAATTTTGTTAAAATTGAACAACTTGAAGGTAATCAAAGTGTTCATATTTTAGTAAATTTTGAAATGTATATATTACGTGAATTTTGTTTTAGAAAAATGAAGTATCAAATCATCTTGAATTAATATAAAATTTTGTAAATATGAGCTAAGAGTAAAAAAAAACTTTCAATCTAATGATTAAATTTATAAAATTCACATTTAATATAAAGTTATTGAGCGGTGTAATACTTAACAAACTTTACACGGGTGTTATTATAACCCTTCTCTTTTAAAATATTATTTTTATAAATTAAATTTTAACATTTTAAATAAATTATTAATTAACTTAATATATTTATTCATCTTAAATCTAAGATATAAAATTCAAAAAATGTATTTATTCTTGTTTTATTTTTTAATTATCAACTATTAATAAAATACTAATTTAAAATCTCATCTAATTATATCATAATATTTTCATATCAAATTTATAACGTTACATTCTATTTTAAAATATTATTTTTTATCAATTAAATTTTAACATTGTAAATAACTTATTAATTAACCCCAAGTGTGTGGTTCAGCGGTAGGGCTTGATCCACGCTTAAACAAGGTCAGGGGTTCAAATCGACGGAATTTTTCGTAGATAATGTTACCTACGGAATTTTTCGTAGATAACGTTACCTTCTCTTTTCAAATATTATTTTTATAAATTAAATTTTAACATTTTAAATAAATTATTAATTAACTTAATATATTTATTCATCTTAAATCTAAGATATAAAATTCAAAAAATGTATTTATTCTTATTTTATTTTATAATTATCAACCATTAATAAAATACTAATTTAAAATCTTATCCAATTATATCATAATATTTTCATATCAAATTTAATGTTACCTACAGAATTTTTCGTAGTTAACGTTACCTTCTCTTTTAAAATATTTTTTTTATAAATTAAATTTTAACATTTTAAATAAATTATTAATTAAATTAATATATTTATTCATCTTAAATCTAATATATAAATTTCAAAAAATGTATTTATTCTTGTTTTATTTTATAATTGTCAACCATTAATAAAATACTAATTTAAATTCTTATCTAATTATATCATAATATTTTCATATCAAATTTAATGTTACCTATGGAATTTTCCGTAGGTAACGTTATTTACAGAATTTTTCGTATGTAATATTCCGTAGATAACTAAAAGTTTTCTACAGAAAAAATTCTATAGGTAATATTCCGTAGATAACTAAACATTATCTACGGAAAAAATTTTGTAAGTAATATTCCATAAATAACAAAAAATTATCAATAGAAAAAATTCTGTAGGTAATATTCCGTAGATAATTAAATATTATCTATCGAAAAAAAATTCGTAGGTAATATTTCGTAGATAACAACAGTTTTTCTTATAGTAAAAATTGAAAATTGGGAGACGAAAAGTAGGTGGACTTGCAAATAATAAAACATTTTCCATTACCCCTAAAAACAAAGGAGATCTTGATGATCTAAGTGTTCGATTTCGGATTATGCACATGTTATAGTTGTTGACATATTCTTGTTTGCAGATACTAAGTTCTTTCTTTTGTTTCAACGTTTATAGCCCAAAAGATGAACATCAACTGAAAAAGCCTTAGGGTGACAGCTATTGTCTAAGGCCTTG